ACCATGTTAACTTGACATATATGATCTTTTTGAATACTCAGAGCAGCCCTGCAAATTAGGACAAATTGTAGATGCATAGTTAGTAAATAACATAATCTGAATACAAATTCAGATTGGTTGATTCCAAAGGCCATTTATTGCCTCTTTTGCCAAACTAGTTTAGAAATCTTTGGCTTTGGTTGTCATCTTCTTTCTCCTCCTTCTCTCCCCTCTTCTCATCCTCTTCCCTTTCCTCTTTTCTTATTTTTTTGAACTGGTGTCTTTGTATGTAGTTCAGACTGGTCTTTAACTCATGGCAGTCCTCCTGCCTCAGTTTCCCGAGTGTTGGGATTATAGTCACCACAAGTGACTTGGTTTTCTCCTTGACAATGCTGCCAACAGGGAAACATAGGCAATTTAAAGGGAAATATGCTGAGTTTAAGAGATTTGGAAAACACAGTTTTATATTCAGTAAATTCATTTTTAAAGACTTCACCTGCTAATTTCAATTTTGCAGTATTTCAAAAAATGATTAAATTTTTCACTTTTTATTGTGTTAAGATGTACTTTACTTGAAACCGTGTGGTTGACCTCAAAGTTGGGAAGGTGGTATTAATTAGGACAATTAGAAGAGGTCAAGTAGAACCAAGGCATGATGACAGATACAATATTTTAATCCTAGTACTTTCCTTTTTATCTATTTAATCTTTAGAAATAGAACAGATTCTGAAATAATCATTGACAGCATAACAAAAATTTTTTTAAAAAGCACCAGAAACCTATATGGCTAGAACCTGTGATCTAATAAATGGCCAGATTGTGCATGAATAACTTAAAATAAATGCCTGATCTAATTTTTAACTGAGATTTTTGTATAGGCTGGTATATTGTGTTTGAAAAACATTAATCGGAATGTCAGAAAACTCCTGTGTAATTGAAGGTGTTCACATTAAGAAGGTTATATATTTTCAATCAACTCTACAACCATAACAGAGCCCTTATTACTAAATAATTAATCCATATAAAATGTTAAAATTTAATTTACTTTTAACTTTTTTTTTAGGATTTTAACCAGATGGTATTGATTTTGTTTTTCATCTTTACCAGATTACTTCCTCCACAGTTTCCTCAGGAAAAACCAGTGATCAGTGTTTATCCACCAATACGACATCACTTAATGGATAAACAAGGAGTATACGTTACCTCTCCATTAGTAAGCAATGTATGTATGTTATAATTTACTTCGGAGTAATATAACAAGTATATTACTTTTCTGTTAAATGTTTTAGAAACATGAAATACAGTTTAGATTTCATTTTGGAATTAATAATTTCCCAAAAAGCATTTTACATTATATAATTGATAATACTATGTTTACTTAATACTATGCTTTAAAGTCTGGACGTGATGATTGGTTAACATGAAGGACTGTAACTTAAATGTACTCTCAGTATCTACCTTTGAACTCGCAAATTGTAAACAGTGAAATGTGGAAATATTTTACCTACATTATTGATTGAGTGAACATATAACCTGTTTTGCTAATTGCCAGATATTTATAGTATCAAACTACAAGAAATGTTGTAAATTATTTATCACTGTTATATGTTGAGTTGACACAATATCTTTCACTTTTATGTTAATTCTTAACCTTCAAAGTAGGTTAAGATTTAGAATAACGGTCACCAATGAGACTTTATAATATTTTTTAAAAGTGATACTAATCATGTATTGTGGTAACTTTCAGTTTACAATGCACTCAGATCTTGGAAAAATTATTCAGAGTCTGTTGGATGAATTCTGGAAGAATCCTCCAGTTTTAGCTCCTACTTCAACAGCATTTCCATAGTAAGTATATTCATATTGAATAAAAAATTTGCATATATTTTCATTTACCATATAAATCAAAATATAGTATAAGCTGGGCATTGTGGTACACACCTGTAATCCCAGCACTCAGAGGCTGAGGTAGGAGGATTGCTATGAGTTTGAGGGCAGCCTAGGCTACATAGTTCAAGGCCAGCCTGGACTACAGAGCAAGACCCTGTCTGAGTGGAGGTGGGGGGAAATTTTATATATATATATATGTGTATATATATATATAGTGTAAAAAAATCAAATGATGTTAAAAGACAGTTCTCTGATTTCTCCATCCCGAAATTCGTACAGATATGTCCACACTCTTCAGAGGCAACTTCAGTTTCCTCTTTTAACTGTTTCTTCTAATGTATATCTTCATCTTTCTGAATAATATGTTCATGCTGCTCTCCCTTGATTTTAGATAGTATCTGTTCACCTCCTATTATAATAGATAAGGTCTGTAGTTATCTTTCATAAAATTTCTCTCTTCATCCTTCCACTGAAGATACATCATTTTTATGTTAAGTCCATACTTAGTATTTTTCTACTACTTTTTTCCTTTTTTTTGCCGGTACCGGGGATCAAACTCATGACCTCACGCTTGCCAGGCAGGCGCTCATGCCACTGAGCTATATCCCCAGCCCTTAAATATTTAATTTAATTTTTTTGTTTGTTTGTTTGTTTTTTCCCCGGTACTGGGAATCAAACTCACGACCTCACGCTTGCCAGGCAGTCACTGTGCCACTGAGCTAAATCCCCAGCCCCATACTTAGTATTTTTATTATGTTGTAAATATTTATTGCTGACCCAAGTGTGTTACCATTTTACTTTTTTCCTGGAGCTAACAGATACTCAATTTTTTATTGGTTTTGTTTTCTTAAATCTTAACATTCCACATCTTAAATACTCAGATCTTAATATTCCAGAGAAATTCATTTAAAATGTTTATAATACAGAGTTTTTGTTTTATGAATGTACTATAATTTATTACCAGTAAAACTTTAATCATGTTTGTTGTTGCCAAACAACATGTTGTTTGTTGTTGTTTGATCATGTTGTTTGGTGTTGTTTTAATCTTTCCTAAAAGATTAACTCATCTTCATTGTCCTCAGTAAATATTTTTCTACTAAATATTTTTCCCCAATGTTTGCATATTTGTTGAATAAATTCTAGAAGTAACTGCACATTTATAGTTGTGACAAACTGCAAAATTGCCCTCGTATAATTTGTAATTGTACCAGTTTCTACTCCTATACACAATGCCTATTTCCCCATACTCTTTGTTTTGTTTTTAATGTGTTATATTGTCAAAATGGACTTTTGCCTATATTTAGGCAGAAAATTATATGTTAGCATGATTTTAGTTATATTTATGTTCTAGTAATGAAGTTCAGCATCTTTTCCTAAGCTTTAAAAATACTCTCTTTTCTGTAACCTGTATACAGCCTTTTAGTCTCTACTTTATTATTATATTTGAAGTTCTTTATCAATTTGTATGAATTCTTCATACATTTGAAAAATTATCCTTTTATATGTGGTACTAGTTTCAGATATTTTCACATTTGTCTTGTTTTTTATAGTGTTGGAGATTGAAGCTTAGGTCTCAGGCAAATTAGATAAGCACCCTACCACTGAGCTAAACTCCCAGCCCTATTAATTTTTATAAGCAGCTTGTCATACAAAGTTTCTTTTATATTGTGGAATTTATTATTATTTTCTCTTATACTTTCTGAATTAGGGTCACACAAAGTTCTTTCCACCTTAAAGTTGAAATTTCCCAATTATGTCTTCAAGCTCTTTTAGGGTTTTGACAAAAAAAATTAAATCCTTGATCCATTAGGTTTTTATCATATTGTGAACGTTCAAATCTGACTCTAATTTAATTTTGTCCAAATATCTCAAAACTATTTATTGACTATTATTCACTTATAGAAGTGTCTTTCTCTATTGTACCTTAATTCCCATATGTGTTTAGACTTTTTATTGTTTTTATTTCCATCCATCTGCTTATTCACTCACCTGTGCTATGTTTTTTTAATTATTAAGATTTTTTAATTTAGTATGCTGAATGACAGTATATTTCTATACTCTCCTTTTTCAGATCTTTATCTTCTATTCTCATCTATTCTTTCCATAAAAATGTTATTGTTGCTACTGAACACTTCAAAAATCTGTAATAAATGTTTTCTTCCAATAAAACTTGCAACTCTGGTTAATTTATATGGTAAAATGAAACAATAGTAATCCCACAAAAAATTGTTTAAATTTTATCAATTTTGGAACATGTTTCAATACAAAGTGAAATATTTCATCGTTAATAGTATGTTTTAAGATGTAACCATAAATCCTTTACTTTTTATAAGAGTGACTGACTCAAACTTACTGTTAATTCAGGTATTGATATTTAGATGATTTTCAGTCTACATTTAGGAATGAATACCTTAATTCTTTCATAATTTGGTGTTCTCTGAATTTACGTAAGGGGGAAAATGTTAAATGTAAAGTAATTATTTTGGAAAAACACATATTGATATTCTTTGGTTAAATCACAAGTATGTAAGGCCACATCACTTTTTTAATGTATATGAATATTTACATAGGAATTTGTTTCTTTTTTAATACTTTTAACAGCTCATCTGTACATTTACTTTTTCTTTAATATTTTCTAGAAAACAGTCTTAGAATTTTCCAAATACAGTGAAAGCTAAGCAGCATCCAGTTAAATATGCTTCCTGAATTGAATATTGTTTCTCTGTCTCTCTGTGAAGAAACTGACTGATGCCATGGAATGCTGAAAATTCAGAAATAGCCTCTATTCACTTTAATTCTGGCTAGTGGGATTTTATGCTTTCTTGAGCATTTATCTTTTTCAAGGGACTACAGTTCTTTTTTGGGAAGGCTTGTTTTTTATCATTTTATGTAATGTTTAATCAGTCACAGTTACAACAAGCTTCACCTGCCAAAAATAGATTTCCATCTATCATTGTTATTAGAACAACTCATGGATAATTTTACCTATTTTACTCCTAACATTTTCTCTCTTTTTTCTCCTTAGCTTGTATAGTAACTCAGGTGGGATGCCTCCTTATGCATCTCAGCGCTTTCCATTTCTTCCTCCATATCCTCCACAAGAAGCTAACAGGACTATCACTTCTTTATCTGTTGCTGACACTGTTTCTTCTTCAACAACGAGTTATACTACAGCCAAGCCTGCTGCTCCTTCGTTTGGTGTCCTTTCAAGTCTGCCTTTGCCCATCCCCACAACAGACAGTTCAACACCGGTTGGTATCTTCAGTAATCTATGTTTTGCACCTGTAAAATATACATTCAGTCAGCAAACATGTATTATTATGTACCAGTTACTAATCTAAGTACAAAATATAGAAATTTTAAATCACGTTTCTCAACTTGTGTAACAAAATCAGTGAGGTAGTCAACAACTAAATAATTGCATATAGGGAATTTCTTGCAGAGACAAGCGGCAGTAGAGTTGTGGTAGAGACCTAGTTGAGGGAGTGTTCACTGTTCCCAGAGACCAAGATAGAACTGGTAGTGATACCTTTGCAGAAATGTAATTCTGATTTTTTTTTTTCATTCCTGCTGAGTCAAACCACATATGATACAATAGTAGATGCTCAATAAAAGTGAGGCAGATGAATGAATAAATTTATATTTGGGGCCAGATTAGGGGAGGGTGTCTTGCTTTGCAGCCCAGGGTTCAAACTTTTGACCATCTTCTCAAGCAGCTGTGGTTACAGGCATAGACCACCACACTCCCCTTTGAAGGCCAGATTTTAAAAAATGGTAATGAATTTGGAAGAATAATAAAAGGTTATATAAGACATTCTATCAGAGGCAGTAACATCGACAAAGGTACTGCAGTATAAACCAGATGGTATTTTTGTAAAGCCACTTATAATTTCTTTGGCTATCATACACTGTATGGACAAAGGCATAAGACATGATCACATAGGAGAGGTAAGTGCCAGATTGATCTGGGTATGTATAGCATATTAAGGGCTTTAAGCATCCAATTGGTTTGTAAATCATGTATTCTAAATTTGCTAACTTGAAGTGTGAGATGTTGGAAAGGGAGATACTAATACTTTGTGCATAAAATATTTTTAAAAATTTTAAAACTTTCAATTTTAATCCATGGTGAATACTACTCATATAATATATAAGCATTGTAAAGCTTTATTATATGCAACATTACTAATTTGAGTTTATAATCATTTAAAATATAGACTGAAGAGTACTTTTTTTCAAAACTTCATCATTGTGTTAATGAAGATTATGTACAAACTACAACAACTAGTATACGCAAAATTATAAGACAACCTCTCAACCGTCTTTAAGAACAAAAAATCATGTATTTCTTTATATATGTATTCAAACAGTGGATAGTGTGTTCATCCTATTGTTTCGTCTTAGATATATAATTATTCAGATGACTGACAATTTATTAAGGTTTTTTTATATTTTATGTATTTCACTTAATAAAAATGTATTTTTCTATATCAAATTATCATAGGTAATTCTTCACATTTGTTGCAGATGCACTTGAGGTTTATTGTATACCCATACACTTGACTGAGAAAGGGCTCATAGCAGCTCCTTTAGGACCCTATAAAAAGAGATTTACAAAAATGTAACCTTACATGAATGTTACACTGAAAAAAAAATAGCCAGAAGGAAGAAGGGGAGCATAAGCACAATGGGAAAGACAAAGATGAAGTTGTAATAATGAAAACAATTTGGGGACGAAGTACTTTTAAATTATTTTCATAAATAAATGGGAGCAATCAGAAAGATGGCTGAAACTAACACCTTGTAAAACTCTTCTTTAGATAAGCCAAAATGGTTTTGGTTACAAGATGCCAGATGTTCCTGATGCATTTCCAGAACTCTCAGAACTAAGGTAAAAATCTTGGAGAATAAAATTGAGATTTTTGTCTATTTTATTTATAAATATAAATCAAATAATTGTATATCCATTTAAAAGACTTTTCTAAATTACTATTCCTATATTGTAATTATCTTAGTGGGAAAGTTTTATACATCAGCTTTAAGTCTTATAGGTTGTGTTTATGTAATGACTAGTCTCTACCCTAAATGCTAGGAATGATATAATAGTTACCAAGATAACAAGTCCTTTCTCACGTATGACTTGCATTCTTCGAAAATTATTTCTGAATACAATATTCCTGACAATACAAAGGAAGCACTGAGTATGGTCAGCCTCTCTCTCTGTCTCTGTCTGTCTGTCAATCTCTCTTTCTCATAACCTCAATCAATATCCTCATCATACCTTAGTAAAATCAATAATAATTCTTCAATATTATCTTATTTCCTCAGTATCTTCATTAAAATTTTTTATTGGTAATTTGAATCAGAATTTAGAACAAGGCCCACCTATATCACTTGAATACTGGCTTTATTAAGTTTCTTTTAATCATGAATCATTTCTCTCCACCTTTATACATACACATAGATACACAAATGTATTTACACACTTACACATATATGCATAGATATATGTACATACATGCATCATTATACGTTTTCTAAGACATTGGTCATCTGTCCTAGAGATTCTCTCATATTTTGTTTTTGCCTAATTGATCTTTGTGGTACCATGGAAGATATTCCTCTATTTCCCATATTTCATGCTGTTGGTGAATAGAAGTGAAATATGATTAGATTTAGGTTCAATTTTTTGCTAGTTAGTACATACTTCTTATTACATCACATAAGGCAACAATGATGTCTGGTTGCCCTATTTGTAATGACTTAAGATGAGATTGGGTTGAAGTTATTAAAATGATTGACCATCAGTTTTTTCATTAAGAGTTGCAAATGTGGGGGGCTGGGGATTTAGCTCAGCGGCAAAGCGCCCACCTAGCAAGCGCAAGGTCGTGAGTTCGATTCCCGGTACCAGAGGAAAAAAAAAAAAAAAAGAGTTGCAAATGTGATTCCATGATTTTATCAGTCCTACTGCCAGAATTTATTACCCAGATTTCTTTACTGAAGGGCTTTCCTTAAGCAGTTAGTTATGCTGAAATTCACTTCACTCTGGGAAAACAGGATAAATGCATTTTTCCTTTTACTTACCTCAGAATAATGAGCTGATATACTAGTGAGGTGCAGAAGTTGTCCCACTGGTGAAACTTAAATTGGCTCCTGTATCATTTCTGGCGGTAAAAAAATACTGTGGGGTCAGAATGAACCTTTCTTTTCCCAGACCTAGAATCATGCATTTCTCTGAAAGGGCACTTGTATTTTAAAATAGCAGTACTAATATTCCTATTAAGATCATTGAGTGCAGATTAAGGGTTTTTTTCATAGTTATTTTGTATTTAGGATAAATCATGCCAGAATGTACAGTCACATACTATTTTTTAATAAGTCTCTTCAAATAATATTTCTCTGGATGCTTAAATACCTTGGAAGAAATAGACTAATTAGCAGAGCAACCCATTTGTTTTGGAATATTGGAGACTGCTTTTATTCCCTTTTGTATTTTATTTTTTAATCACATAATGTTTTTATGTAGTTCTATAGTCAAAGCTACAAGATATATTCAAAATATATTTCCATCTGTGTCCTTTCTATGTAGTTTTCTCTTTCACCCTAGATACCTATTTTTGGTTTTGGTGTAGAATTCCATTATTTTTCTTTTAATACTTTATGACTACATGTACATACACACACATATATATATATACAAGACATATATGTCTCTATATCTTTTACGGTGACATCCATGTGCCTATTAGCTAAATAGACATAGAAGTTAAAGTGGAAGGTTGTCATGGCTGCTCATGCACTCTACCTTTGTAGTCCTACAGTAATTTGATATAGTAGCAGAAACTACTTACCTTATGGAGTCTAGGGAGATTTTATTGACGATGTTTTGGCTAATGTGTCTCTGGAATCAGGCATTGACCAGGCCTCAAGCTGGTAGTAGAAGAGTCTCCCGTGAAAGCTTCTTTCAAACTGAAATATTATATTAACTTTTTTTTTTGGTCTTTTTGAGACAGGGTCTCGCTATGCAGTTCAGGCTATTCTTGAGCTCACTTTGTAGCCCAGGCTGGTCTCGAACTTGGAACAGTCCTCCTGCCTCAGCCTTCCAAGTGCTGGGATTACAGGCATGAGCCACCATACCCAGCATTAACTTTTGCGGTCTTTTTCTGATGCTATTTACCTCTCAACAATACACATAATGAAAAAAGAGGGAGAGGGTTAGGGGTATAGCTCAGCAGCACAGCACCTGCAAGGCAAGCATGAGGTCCTGAGTTCGATTCTCAGTACCAAACAAAACAAAAGAACAAACAAAAAAAGGAGAGAGTTTCTAATGGTAGCCTGTCTGTAGAGTTTTACTTCTTTGAATCTGTTATAATGCTGATATGTTCATTATTATTCTGGAAGAAATACATAGCTTTTTTTTTTTTTATAGTACGGAAGAGTGAACCAAGGGTCTTCACACTATGTTACATCTCCAGTTCCTAGTATTATTATCACTATCATTATTATATATTTTAAGAGAATTTCTTACTAAGTTGCCTAGGCTGGGCTTGAAATTGTGATCTTCCTCCCTTAGCCTCTCAGAGTGCTGGGATTGCAGGCATGTGCCACCAGGCCAACTTTTAAACATCTTAACTTTCACAAATTATCAAGACCAGTTCCTATCTTCAAAGTTGTAGAATAAGTTATAATCTAAAGCAATCAAACAAAATTAAGTCTGGGCATGGTGGCACATGCCTATAATCCCAGCACTTTGGAGGCTGAGGTGGGAGGGTTGGTGCAAGTTGAAGGTCAGCCTGAACTGAATAGTGAAAACTATCTCAAGAAGACACTAAAAAAAAAAAAAAAAAAAAGAAACAATTAAGAAAAAGTATCTAACTATATTACTGCTCTCCTGTTTTAAGGAGCCTCAGCTGAATTAGGGAGAGACCTAGAATAATTAGTATTAGTCAGCTTTTCCATCACTGGGAGAAAATACTCATCACCCACAATGTAAAGGAGGAGAGGTTTAATTTGGCTTACAGTTTAGAGGGATTCCATCCATGGTGGACTAGCTCCAGGCTAGAAAAGATACCTTGGAGGAAAGTTGCTTACCTCATGGCAGCCAGGAAGGAGAGAGAGAGAGAGAAGCAGGAGCCAAGGAGGCAGCTGTACCCTCCAAGGAGCACACTCAGTGTCATATGTACCTCTTCCAGCCGGGCCTCACTCCTAAAAGCACGTTTATCTATGAGCTTATCAGTAAGTCAATCCACTGGTGGCATATAGCACACACATGATCCAGTTATCTCCCAAAACACTAAACACACAAGACTTTAGGGGGACATTCTGTGTCTAAACTATAACATGTAGTTCATCTTTTTTTTTCTTTACCTAAGTTAAATAGACTGTTGTTGATTTTAGGTCACTATATAATGGTGAACACTTCATCACAGTTGTCAATTACTGACTGGCTGGCTGATTGATTGATTGATTGATTGATTGATTGATTGATTGAGACAGGGTCTCACTATGTAGTTCAAGCTTGCCCAGACCTCACTGTGTAGCCCAGGCTAGCCTCAAACTCTTGATAATCCTTCTGCCTCAGCTTCTCAAGTTCTGAGATTACAGCATGAACACCTACACCTGGCTTCATAGTTGTCAATTTAAAGAAAGTGAATGTATTGGTGTATCAGAATTCACTTCTCCAGATTCTGTTGAGAATCTGGGTTTTTTTTTTCCAATTTTTATTTTTTGTTAGTGTATATTTGCAAAACATAATGATTATATTCCTTGTGGGAAGTTGGTACATGTACATAACACACCTTAATTCTTTTTTCATGCCCTTCGCTTCCCTTTTCTTCCCCTTCCCTTCATCTCTTGGTCTACTTCCCATTTGCAAAAGATCTATTTCCCTATTTCCTATTCTCTATATTTTACTTTTGTACTTTCTTTATATTTTGAGTTTCTTATATAAGAGAAATCATGCAATATTTAAGCTTGTATGTGATTTATTTTACTTAACATTATGGTCTTAAGATGCATCTATTTTTCCACAAATGACTCACATTTATCCTTCTTTATGGCAGAGTAGTGCTTCATTGTGTATGAATACCACATTTCCTTTATCTATTCATCTGTTGATACACATATAGGCTGCTCCCAAGATTTAGCTGTTATGAATTGTGCCTCTATAAACATGGGTACCCATGTATCCCAATAAAACTAAACTAGAAATTTCATTTGACCCAGCTATTCCCCTTTTAATAAGTATCTCCTGAAAGAGAATCTATTATAGACTACTTTATGTTAGACTATGACTGATTTGTTATTTACTCTTAAGATTACAAGTAGCATTCTTTTATGTTTATGGAAAATTATTTAGAATTTTTTCAACTAAAACGGAAAAATTATGAATATTTATATGGAGAAAAGTAAATGATATTCACTAACCTTTTTTTCTTTTGTGTTTCTAGTGTGTCACAACTCACAGATATGAATGAACAAGAGGAAGTATTACTAGAACAGTTTCTGACTTTGCCTCAACTAAAACAAATTATTACTGACAAGGATGACTTAGTAAAAAGTATTGAGGAATTAGCAAGTATGTCTTCCTTTCCTGCAATTCGCATTTCTTGAGGAAAACAAAATGTGATTACCTGGAAATAAACTAGAGATTTATCTTACAGGAAAAAATCTCCTTTTGGAACCCAGTTTAGAAGCAAAAAGGCAAACTGTTTTGGATAAGGTGAGTTGGTGAATATTGTGAAAGGATTTATACACTTTGAAAATAGAATTAAACAGCAGCTTTTATTTTCTCCTTTAGTATGAGGTACTTACACAAATGAAATCTGCTTTTGAAAAGAAGATGCAAAGGCAGCATGAACTTAGTGAGGTAAGGTTGTCCAGTTTTTCTCTTTTCCCATAAGAACTTCCAGCCCTAAAGTCCACGGACCAAATTTCTACTCTCATTCTTATAGGAAACTGTTTATTAAGCATCTACCTTTGTCAGATTTAGTTCCTTTAAATGTACATAAATAGTTCCCAGTTATGGTATACGGTAAATCAGTGTGTTCATGTAAGGGCATGTCTGATTCTAAAACTGAAAAATACGAAAAGCTCTCATAAGTAACTTCTGAGTGAGTTGTAGAAGCTGTGTAACCCTTGTAACAATAAAAAAAATTTAACTTTAGATGTACTTGTAAGAGTTCAGATACCTTAAATGAAAAGCTAGCAAATTAAAAAGTAATATTATGTGAAAGATAGCTTATAAAATTTAACCTATATCGGTTAAAAAAATCAATCTTTTAAAAATAAAAAAGAATGGAGGTCTAGGCACAGCAGTGCTCAGGAGGCTGAGAAAGGAGGGTCACCATGAGTTTAAGAACTGACCTAGGCTATATAGTGAGTTCAAAACCATCCCAAACTATGTAGCAAGACCCTATCTCAAAAAACAAAACCAAAAAAGGATATAATCTTTGCAGTTCATACCAGTAAGCAGTATTATAGTTAATAATATTATGTTTCTTTTAAAATTAAATTTTGGAAAATAGAAGTAAAACAAACAATAGCCAAAAAGATATAAAAAGAGAATATAAATTTATGTATTTCACCTAATGTAATCATTCTTTACAATAAAATAAGAATAGCTCATATTGAGCAATTAGTATGTGTTTTATATTATACAAAGCAATATACTTCTTATACATCTTGGGTCATTATTATCCCGAATCCTGTGAAGTAGTTTTTTCCTTTATTTTCCATTTTACAGATGAGGAAACCAAAGCACAGCAAGGTTGAATAATTTCCTTGAGGTCATGTAAATAGGAAGTATGAGAATTAGGAATTAAACATCAGCAAGAACCCCTGTGAGGGTCAGCAGAAGTACTCTTTAGTACGCAGTTCAGTCAGTACATGTTGAAGAATCTTTCACAATAGTCAACATCATTCCTGACACAAAATTCTAGTAAGCTACACATAGAAATTAATTTTTGTTTAAAAAAAAAAGATTAGAAACTAACAATAAATGCCATACCTAATGCCTAAGCATTTCCATTATCTCCTGAACATTAGAAATAAGGGAGTAATGCGCCATTGTCACTGAGCTGTAACATTGCTTAGGAGATTCTAAACACTGCAATAAGATAAGACAAAGAAAAGAGGTATACTATAAATGAAGAGGTAAAACAGTTATGTACCAGAAATCAATTAAAAAAATCCTAGAGAAAAGTTTCTCCCTACGTTTCAGCACTTACTACTACAAAAAGAAATAGAGAAACAAATAATTTTCAACATCAATAATACTATAAAATACTTAGAAGTGAACTCAATAAACTACATGAGGAAACTTTAATGAAATTAAAGCATACTCTTGTAGAGCAACATAGAATATACATAAAATAAAAAAATAGAGTACTACAAAGATTTCAGTCTTCCTAAAATAACTTGCAAATTTGAAATAAATTTCCAATCAAAATCCCCAAAGTATTTTTTAAATATCTTAGCAGATTATTATAAAGTTTATCTGAAAAGCCAAATGCGTTAAGTAGGAAGAGGTTGAACCAAAAAGAAATAATGAAAATGACAATGTTTTTCCTATATCAAAATTTATTCTAGGGGGACTGGGGATTTAGCTCAGCGGCAAAGTGCCTGCCTGGCAAGTGCAAGGTCGTGAGTTCGGTTCCTGGTACCGGAAAAAAACCGAAAAACCAAAAAAAAAAAAAAAAATTTATTCTAGGGGCCAGGGATTTAGCTCAGTGGTACAGTGCCTGCCTGGCAAGCATGAGGTCCTGCGTTTGGTTCCTGGTGCCCAGCCCCTCATTATTTAAAATGATAGTTTCGTAGGCAAAAAAAGTAATTCTGTGGAAAAGGCTATGTAATTCAGAAATAGACTTGGTATATGAATAATTACTGGAAAAATTGAGGATTCAACAAATTATGTAATTGATTATCTATTCAGTATCCATTCCAGAAAGTGTTAGATTCCTGTAGCATAA